CACAACCTTATTTGCATGATCGGAAAAGGATAAATCTGAGTATGTTATCCCGAGATCTGTGTCTGTGTTCAGTTTTGAGAGGAGCTTACCGTACATACATAGGCACATTATCGGTTTCCAGCGTCCAAGGTGGGTTATACCGCACTTGTCTGGGTTGAAAGTCAGTTGCCACTTTTCGCTCCAATCGCCTAGATCATTTAAGTCTTGTTGGATCTTGCTTTCGACGCTCATATCACCGTACCCATAATCATATACTATCTTGAGATCATCTGCAAAAAGGTATGGCTTGCCATACTTGATTACAGAGACTATGTCATTTATAAATAAGAGGAACAGAATAGGGCCAAGAACACTACCTTGTATTACACCACTGGTTATCGGCTTTGAGGAAGACAACTGGTGGTTGATTTTGACTAATTGCTGTCTTTCTGTGAGAAAAGAACTTATCCATTCGAGAAGCTTTCCGGTTATTCCGAAGGATTGGAGTTTTGTTAGGAGTCTGATGTGTGGGACTTTATCGAAGGCCTTGCTAATGTCGAGAAATAATGTTGTTACCGAACGCCCATTATCAATGCTTTGTGTAATGTAGTCAAAATAATCTAAGCGGTAAGTAATACACGACCTTCTACTTAAGAAACCGTATTGGGATGGGGATAGTAGGTCATTTGACAGCAAGTACTGAATGATTTGAGTCCCAACTATCTTTTCCATTACACGAGAAACTACAGACGTGATGTTGATGGGGCGGTAGTTGTTGATATCAGCTATAGGCCCGTATTTGTGGATAGGTACAACATAAGACTTCTTCCAGCAGGTAGGTTATGTCCCGTCGCCTAATGAAACTGAGTATAACTTGAGTGAGAGTAAATTCATGTCATTACCACCATTTTTCAGCAGAATGGAAGGTATACCGTCAGGACCAACAGTGTTACTAAGCTTAAGATTTGCGACAGCTTTATCGATCTCATGTGTGGTGAAAATTATGTCACTTAAACATTCGTCTGTTTTACGTGGGAAATCCACGACCTCATCGTTCTCTAAGGTGTATAATCTAGCGAAGTGCTTGCTAAACAGTTCACATATCGCCTCACTATTTTCGTAAGCAATTCCGTCTTTTTAAATTATTACTATCCCTTCACGGCGAACCATATACAACAGACTCGTCATGCTGTGCATCATACATATCATTACAAATAATAAACAACTCAGCCTTACTTACTTACCTGCCTTCTTCCAAGACGCTTTGTCTCTTCTTTTATCCAGGCATCGCTGAACTGGACAGAAAAATCCAGAAGAGTTTGAGATAACACTTGTCCAAAGAAGACGGGTAGATACGAGGAACGACGAACAGAAACTATCAGAAACTGTCAATGTCTAGCTCTTACTACGCTGGACCTCACGCTGTCCCTGGAAGACTTTGAAAAACAATTTGTAACAACCAACGCGAAAAACCAGGACACAGATTGGCGACTCGAGATTCATTTAATCTTACGCCAATATGTAACCAACGATAAGGTTTTTACACACAAGTTTTCTGATAGTTTTCTGTATTCCACTGAACAGCGGAAGATGAGACAATGACTGCTGGATTGATGACTCCTGCGAAAAATATGGAGGAGTTGGGTTTGAGCAAACAACCATGAATTGATCGCTCAATCTTCAACCACATTGACACCTTAAGCTTGAAGCCTTATGCTCCACTGGGAACATAAAGGAATAAAAAATTTTTCGAAAGCATGTCAGAAGGCAAATGAAACGCGGAAATCCTGATCAGACACACGAAAACTAAGTTCATCAGTTAGTAGGTAAAGGAAGCCTTACGGATTGGAGGGAAGATATAGTTCCTACTTGACCACTACTCTTCACTTACTGCATCTGATTGGACATTGTGGACCGTGTTGTGGAAGCCGAAAAACCTTAAGTGAATGAACTTCTCGGCAAGAAGTCGCTCGCGTGAATATGGAAACTCAAGTATCTAGTGGTCATCCATTTACGCTGAAGTACTTATGGCAGTTTAATGCAGTGGTCGTAAGGGTAGCTTGTTAGAATCTTTCATACCTGTAACTTTAATCTGCTGAGCTAAGAAATCTGCAAGGTGTGGTTTCAGTTTCCATCAGTCGGTTCTGAAAACTAATTCCATCCTGTGTAAAAATCATGTTATCCGTTATGTTCTCAGGCTGTGGTGGCTTTTATCCCATGACAACCGCAGCGCCTCGAGGCAACAACGCAGGGTGACCAGTGTGTCAAAAGCTGACATCAAAAGGTTTCAATCAATAATTCTATATTTCATTTTTCGGACATGAAGGGCGCCAGTTTATGGGCATCTTCAATATGATAAATTACATATACTATTAATAAACAAATTTAGTAATGATAATATAATAAGGTGCGTGTTTGTTCCTACCTGTGTAGGGCACACCAGTTGTACAGGGGTGGATAGTAAAAATTTTGAGCATTGTGAAATGGATCAAATGTATTATTATCATATTTCAGTAGTTTACACATAATGACAAGCTTTTGTTTCTGGTAATAGTTCGAGGGAAATTGCTGCCTGTGATCACACCAACTGTTAGAATTTTTTGTTTCTAATTAAAACGAAACAAATGCGAAAGTTGGTGTGATGGACTGGCTGCGGAACTACCAGAACAAACTTGATTCAGGAAAGGGAAATTATACACAGGTCAAATTACAAAACAGCAAATCATCACGGAACAACATATAGAATGGCAGTCCAACCTCTACCTCAACAGCTTCATCGAAAGTGAAGTGCTTCAGATATTTGTCAGCCTCATTCAATTGCTATGTGACAAGCCAAGTCAAGCGATCCGCAAAGGAAGACTCAGAGTAGCCTTTGAAGTGAATACAGGAGTAAGACGGGACTGCCCCTGTCACTGATGGACTCAATTATAGGTCAGACTGTGCCATGGAAATGAAAAGACAGTAACACGTCGGACTAATAGAAAGACTGTAGAGGATTTGGATTTAGAAGATGATTTATGTTTAATATCACACAAACTCGAAGACTTGCAGGTGAAAAGTAACAAACTGACCAAAGAAGCGGCAAAGACTGGGCCTTGAGTAAACAAAGAGAAGATGGAAGTGATGGAGACAACCAGCCAACAGCAACCAGCGCAAATCACTGTCAACTGGAGAAACTTGAAAGAGGTTACCTCCTTCACTTATCTAGACAGCATCGTCTCAACTATAGACTATAGCATGGATTAAGGTGTTAAAAACCCAGAATTGGAGAGGCAACGTACACCTTCATCACTACGAAATCGGTTTTGGAATATTCTGCACTCAGCATAAAGAACAAGATTCGGGCTTTCAACACAAATGTTGAGTCCATCTTTCCGTATGGGTCAGAAACGTGTAGCGTCACGAAAAATATCCCTATCAGCTTCTTTCCCTCGCATTGTGCTGGGGATAATACGACCAAATGAATCAGCAACAAGAAACTCTGGGAAAAAACCAACCGAGAACCTATCTTCAAAAGTTTGCCAGATAAAGTGGAGACAGATCAGACACATGTTGATGAGACCGTTGGGTGATATCGCGCACCAAACCCTCCAGCGGATTCCGAATGGGAAATGACGAGTGGGGTGTATGAGGGTGATGTGAAGGAAATCGTTCAGGGAGTTCGGAGAATTCGGGCGATTGTTGGGCCAGCTAAAGTAGATCTTGAAAAACAGGATAAAGTGGGGACATGCTGTTTAATCCCTATGTACCACTCGGAATCCAAGGGAACAATTATACAGTAATAATGGTGCACTTCGGCAACCGTATATCGTACATAATATACCAAGTTAGAGGAAATACATAGTTCAGTCGAAATCAAAAGTCCTTGAAGTGTTTTTCATACACAACAGATCGGGGTCTAGGCAGATGTACAACACGGTCCGAAATACATGTAATACAGCACACACACAACCTGCAGGTTGTTGTCTCAGTTGTCTTATTACATTCTTGGTTGGGACTCTGGGGGGGGGATAACTAACGAAGATTTCATAATTCAGCGGAAAAACAAGTATTTATCCTCAGTCATGCAATATGGTATGATGGTGAATATTTATGCCTGAAAAATCTTACAACAGATGAACTGTAAGTTAATTACAGGGATATTTGAAAATCCGTCAAAGGGCCTTTCACACATAATAGCATGAAACCTAAGTATTTCGTATTAGATTGCCCATAGAGCTGGATAATGCAGACAAACGGGGATAAGTGAATGGGTAGGACTTTAACCTGGATCACAAGTGTTTCTCTCACCAGAGTCTGAATCTCTAGTGGGGGTCAGTCATCACTTGGAAGATGACCCGTACACTGGAAACAGTTCAAAAAACAATCGGATCCCCTGTGTGTTCGTTTCGCCATGTATAGAAAAGTGCGTCGGTGGCACAGTGGTTAGGACTCTCGCCGACCATGGATATGGTTCAAGGTTCGAGCCCACGCCGACGCACACCTGATATCTATGGTTGGCCTGCGAATTTCGGGCTACCAATATCCACGCTGAAAATTCCATACTTGTACCAAAAATACGGTGTGGAGTCAAGCTGTAATTAAAAAAATAAATAAAAAGATTGTTCTCTACTCACCATACGATAGACAAATTTAATCAATATGAAGAGAATCCTTTGAAGGGACTATAGAATGGTTAATTTCCCTTCCACCTTCCACACTGTTGTGGCGACCTGCAGGAGACAAAAGGAGTGTGTAGAAGACGACGGCTAAGTATGTCATCCCGACGTACTGGTCTATCCACGGAGTTCTTAACTTTAGAACCAACTAGTGAATGTCGTCTCTGCTCCTTCATATGACTAATCCAGAAACCAGTTAACAAATACAGATTTTAAGAAGACAAAGAAGATAGACGTCGTGACTTTTATCCTCAATTAAAGGTTGAATCTGGAAATGAAGCCACTAACTTTATTGGGCGCGCGGAAACCCGCTGGTGCCGCCTAGTTTGAAAAAATTGTTTACTCATCTTTATCTGTGACAGTATGAGTGCATCAACGCCTAGCGGTTTTGATCGGTTTATGACAATTTTTTCACCTGAAGGTCGACTTTATCAAGTAGAGTATACCTTCAAAGCTATTAGCCTAGATGGCCATTTGTCTGTTGGTGTACGTGGTCATGACTGTGCAGTTGTTGCAGCACAACTCAAGCTCCCAGACAAGTTGATCGATCGAAAGTCAGTAACGCGCATCTTTCGTCTCACAGATTCCACTGGATGTATTATGACTGGTATGGCGCCTGACTGCCGTGCCCAAGTACAGCGAGCTAGGTACGAGGCGGCTACCTTTAAGCATAAATTTGGGTTAGTACTGTCCTGTTATCTCTAAGGTTTTAGATACGAAATCCCTTGTGATGTTCTCTTAAACCGTATTGGGGAAATCAACCAAGTGTACACTCAGTCTGCTGAGATGCGGCCACTAGGATGCGCCATGCTCGCTATATCTTACGATCAAGAACTTGGAAAACCCCAGCTTTACAAATCTGATCCAAGCGGTTTTGTAGCTGGTCACCGAGCAGTTGCAGTGGGGGAAAAGCAAACTGAGGCAATGCGTCATCTGGAGAATGAGGTATGACAAAGTATTTCTTTTATGGGATCTGTGAATTTTACATTGATGCAAATATATGGCCCGTTACACTACTTAGATTAAAACTCCATCACTGTGGTTTTCTTTTACAAAAAAGTTAGCCGGTTGTAAATGCTACTAACCTAAGTAATATGTGGTTCGCGGATAAAGCTCATGAATTGCAATAGGTGGAGACTGACAAGTGTGATAGCAAAGGCGTGTGAAATAGTTTTTGTTTTTAATTTTAAGTTCTCAGTGCTCACAATACTTTATGCAACGATTCCATTCGTACACCTGTCTTCAAGTATTATTCATATACCTGGCCAACTGAAACTTTATTCTCATAATTTTTTAGAATCTTACATCAGTGGAATAGTAGGATTTCGAAGTCTACAATCCATCGGAAGACATGTCTTTGCGAATGTCTCATTTGTAGGCATTACACTATCCATAAATTTATTTTTGTCCATCGTATGCATAATGTATGTGAAATGTAATTTTTAAAAACTTACCATTGGGGGACTTAAGAGATTATAGAAAGATTTATAAGTTTTTTAGAGGCTGCATGATAGCTGTGGTTAACCAAATGGGATTTCAAAGGAAGCACGATATCTTAAGTGAAAGGCTAGTTTTGGTAATAGCACTCCATCAAGGTTCCCTGAAGTGCTACCATAATCCACTATTGCAGCAGGTTTGTATATATGACTTTATTCTAAGACCAATACACTGTCGCGTAGGACTATGCATTTCCTCATCCTTCTGTTCTTTTCAGACTTAATCCTTAGTTTAGTTGAAGCCAGTGGGTCTGACTGTCATCCAGGGAGGCTTTCCTCATTATGTCTGTCTTAATTGTGCAATATCATCTAGTTAATAAGAATAGACAGTAGTGGTAGTCTAATCTAGCTAGTGGCGGTCAAACCAAAACATGGCACCAGTCAATGAAATCCACAACAGTCAGTCTAAGCCACGTAGGGAAGTGTAGACTCCCTAACTGGCTGGTTGGGGTCCTTGGGACAGTAAAAACCAAAGGTTGGAAACAATTGGTGATATGGCTCAAAATCGTTCTCAATGGCTGGCGCAGATGCATCCACTCCCTGTGACTTATGATTTCCAATGAAACTATATTGTTCTTCGTTATTACTATTCCTTTTGTCGCATATACCTGTCTACTGTCTCTATTATGCATTTCTTGTCTTGCTCTGTGTGCTACATGGAGTGTGGCGACTCGAACTGTCGCACATATGTGCAAAGTTCTATGTCGAAAACAAACACAGAATCTAGGCATATTAGTCATTTTCGATATCTTCCTTCTGTGGAATATTTGCATGAGTTGCTGTCTGAAATGTTTGTGAAAGTTGTACCGGGTTTCGGTGGTAAGCAATTCATGCAACGTGAGATAGTAGTGTTAGGAATAGAGTCGATGGGATGCAGCGTTTATGGATTCGACTGTCATATTTACTGTGTAAAGTACAAAGGTATCTCTCATTTTTACTCGGGGCTTTAAAAGACAGTCAAACCTGTTAGTCCATCATATCATAATTTCATTAATGAAACATCTATTTTCTGAACCTAAGTAATCCAGCTGCTGTCACGAGGATTTTATGATTATTTTTGTTCAAGTGCAAGACATAACGTGAAGGATGTTGGATATTTTTGATTATAACCAGTCATTGTGTTGGCTTACTTCTTGACAAATTGGGTGAATTTAACGTTTACTGAGAGGTGTGAGTATGACTGATTATCAATTAGTTTTCTGAAATGTACATAGCACAAAACCAAAATTTTGTTTACACTTATTATTATCTAGTATTTAAAACATCTAAGTCTATACATTTTGTCGTTCCCTTGTCAATTTGTTTTATTTCTGTCGCATTTTTTGTGTACATGTTTTCTCTCAACATATTATAGTTTCGGAAGCAAGAAAACTATACATTAGATGAGGCTATCGAACTAGCAATTAGTTGTCTTTCACACACTCATTCAATGGAATTCAAAGCTACGGAATTAGAAATTGGGGTTGTATCCAAAGCAGACCCTATTTTCAGGTAAACACTGTTACATCATGCACTTACTTTAAACTCAATATTTCTATATTTAAGCAAATTTAGTTGTGTTCTTTTGTCCGGTATACTTTAATTAGCTTGATAATCTATTGGTAGGCTTCGTCCATACAGATAGGGATGTCTCTAAACTGACTAAGTTAAAATTTTGGAATATATGTCGACAGTTGTTATAATCATGTCAAGAAATTGTATCGTACGTTGAAATTAGTCAATTGGATTTGTCTCCAAATTAAGGGTTGTCGAGTAATTCAGTGAGCTTGCATAAAAATCTTGTTTATGAATAGAGTCACAGCTTTGGTTAACTTCTGTATCACTAACGTCAGCTTACAGTCTGGAGGCAATGCATTCGTCTACAAGTATAAAATTCAACAATTCTAGACATTACTCAATATATCTAGTCATACATTTTTCGTAATTGAATACTATTCCTACTAATGAAAATGTAACTCTGGATTTGTGCATTAAGCTGCAAATCACGCCTATTGCGTAGGCAGTTTGTTACCTAAATCTACGTGTATTCCAACGCACCAGCTGTAGGTTGATGTCTTTCCAGAATTAGTTCGTGGGGATTCTATTTGTTTCAGGTTAGATCACGGATCGATATGAGTTAAAAAAACCATTGAAAACCAGGGAGTACTGGACAACTGTTTCGTGCTAGGTTGGGACTCATCGGTGGCACGCACCCACTGGTCTTTGAACTTAGTACCTTCCGATTACAGGTCAAACTCTCATATTATCCAACCACTGGGACCCGATTCAATGGCCAATCCATGATTTCTAACTTCTACTAATTCGTGAATTTTAGCGCGACCACCAACCAATGCCATAGGTGGCAAATCCATCCTCACTCCCGACTGGATAGATTCCACTGGTCACAGATAAACCCAATGGGTGCGTGCTGCCGATGAGTCCCAAACCACGACGAAACGGCTGTCCAGTGCTCCTTGGTTTTCAATGGTCCTCTAATTGATGTCTTACTATTTTCCAGGTGAATTGTTTCTTTACGGTCATGTTCATAATAATACATAAGTTATTATTCGTTATAATAGTTATAATATTAGTTTACACTGACTTTAGTTTCCAAAACTCAAATTTCTGGCAATAGTTGTGTTTCACTGAAAAATAAGTAGTGTGATTTCATGCTCTAAACTCAGCCTAAAGTGTGCTAATAGTTATCTCCCCAAGATTATTACTAAATTTTTTTTACTGAAAATTTTTTAAAAACAAATTTTTATTCTGTATTTTAGGAAGTTGACTGTCGAAGAAATCGATGTTCATCTTGTAAGGATGTCTGAAAAGGATTAAACTACACAAATGTGTATATTGTTTTATTTGAAAGGCAATACATTTTTTACTTGAATGTTCTTTTGTTGTAAGATGCAGCAGTAAATAAATTGGAGTAACCGCGATACTTTATTACATGTCACCGCTCCAAAGCAAGAGTAGGGTTAGACAGAGTTACTTACATTTACCAATCTTCAACTGTGGCACCGATGATATTCTGGCGATAAATTTTAAATAGATATATAGTAATGTAGGTCTCCCAACCAAAGAAAGACTATTCAACGCTGTCCATGTAAGAAGTACTGTCTTCCAATTTTGGACATTCAAAGTACTTTTCAACAAGTGGCTACAAGACTAATAATGCCAGTAACATAGTTACACCAGCACACATTCAAATGTGCTTAGTAGCAATACCTACTTGGTAATTCTCTTATTCTATATTACCATGAAATGGTGGTAATATAAAAGTATTTTGTGTTTACATAATTAGCGCGGTAAGTTGTAAAGCAGACAAATCGAAGGTGGTACAGCTCAGTGTTGTGAATTGTCCCGTTGACCGTGTATTTATGTGTATACGTTCAGTTATGTATTACGGAGGAAGCTTCGGAGAATTAGGAAAATTGGTGCTACTGATTGTAATGATAAAAATACTCATGATAGCGAGATATTGGTTAGTAAGTGCGTTTTGAGATATTTCCATAATAGAAGGCGTGAATGGACAAATTTTTTATGTGGAAGGTAAAAATTAGTTTTTTGGCGGAAAAATATCCGTTAATGAACATGATGAGCGCTATGCCTCTGTGAAGTGTGATTAGCATGAAATCTTTCATCTCCTAACAGTACTTTTGACACAAATATGGAATTTTCAGCATGTAGTAGTGGAGTATTGCATCTAATTTTTTCATTACATGCGCAATAGTTAAAATAGGGTATTTATATTAGTAGTATTGCTCAATAAAAAGTGAATATAAAATTAAATCAAGTGAAAATATTAGCGACAAGAACAGTTCTGTCTACTTAGAGTTCATCAGTAAGCTGGTAATTTCCTGTCTTACACTTTTCTCATTATATAAAATGTGTGCCTGCCAAATATAAGGTATTGTAGAGTTTTTGTACTTAGTCGTCCGAGCATACAGTCTTTTATAGTTGCTTCTAGTTCTGCCCGATGAGTTGCAAGGAGAGAGAGAGTTGTATATGGAGACGATGTTCAGAGTCTGACAGGATAATATTTACTAATTTCTTGCAGGAATCCTAGTGTCCACCTACAGCAGTATTAACGAGTTGGTTTAGCAACACCCCACTCACTTAGCCTACTGACGACTTTTAGTGCACTACGCAGTATGACAAAGTTTGTCTTAAGTAGCCCGGGAAAGATTAAGGGGAAACAGTAAAGACGTACAGGCAGGTAGAATACAGGAATTAATAAACGGGAACAGTTGAGACGGAATGATGCTATATCGTCTTAACTTCTTGACATAGAACATCAAATGAAATATATTTCTGGAGACTAAGATGATGTGGGAAGACCGGGAAAGGTGATCAGAGGAAACGCACAGTCCAAAGTATTTAACATTCGATTTAGTTTTAACTTCGGTGGCATCTATGATACTAGAATCATGGGAACGAACCAGTTCATGTAAGTCGCGCTTGCGCCTGAAAGTACCAAAGACTTCACATTGGAGTTGAAAATCCGGATCCTACTTTCATTCTCGTGCTGAGTGCTGTTGACCTCCACACAGACTTGAGAGTAATGAAGACTTGTCTTGCTTTCCCGATCCTCACTGCTTGGATATCCTCGTAAGTTCCCTCCGCCTGTAGTTAAAACGATGCTTCCCAGATCGGCAGGTAAAGGAGGTTGTTTCTTTCAGGTTCCTCCCATTTATGCTGTCTGATTGTTTTCTGTTGTTGTTGTTGTTGTTTCTGTTGGCCAGGAATCTTCATCACCTCTGTTTTCTCTATGTTCATCTGAAGTCACATCTTCCCTGGATGCTTTTTGTGCCAACTTGTTGCTTTTCACTTGCATACCTTCCAGTTTGTGGGAAATCAGCCATATGTCGCATCGGCGAAGTCCAGATCTTCCAAGTTTTTTGTGTGGGTCCATTTTATGCCTGTTTCCTCATTGCTCGTTGTCTGTCACATTATCCAATCTACTGCAATCAGGAAGATTATTGGCGATAGTAGACAGCCTTGTCTCACTCCCGTCCTCACTTCGAAGGCTTCCGTGAGTTTCCCGTTGTGGATCACTTGGGATACAGCATTGTCGTATAACTGTTGGTTGAGATGTATAATTGTCGATGGCGCCCCGTAGTAGCGAAGTAGTTGCCAAATGACTTCTCGATCGACGCTGTCGAAGGCCTTTTCAAAGTCAATGAAGTTGAGTGAGTTGGAGAGGTGACTGTCATTCCAAGGCCTGTTCAATGATCCGAATATTGGCGATTTGGTCAATACATGACTTGTTTTTCCTGAATCCAGCTTGTTCCGGTCGAAGTTTTTCATCCAGGTTGGTGTGTTTGATTCTGTCCAGGATGATGCGGCTTAGTATTTTGCTTGGGATGGACAGGAGCATAATTCCACGCGTTTTTGCATTGACTTAAGTCTCCTTTCTTTGGTAGTTTGAATAAGTATCCTTTCTTCCAATCCTCGGGTACTTTGCCCTCTTTCCACACCTTCTCCAGCAATGGCGTCATCAAGTCCGCTGTTGCCTCTGGGTCCATTTTCAATGCTTCTGTTGGGATTTCATCTGGTCCTGCTGCTTTTCCAGCTTTTAGCATCTTGATTGCATTCATGATTTCTGATTTCGTCAGAGGGTCGATGTTCACTGGTTGTTCTGCTTTCGTTATTGGTATTGTTGGGTGCGTTGTAGGTGGCGGTCGATTTAGAATTCTTTTGAAGTGTTCAGGCCAGTGTTTTTTGTTCCACTTCTTTGTTGATTGACTTTCCATTGTCATCCTTAACTGGCTTAATCTGTGTCGAACTTTTGCCCGATAGGTGCCTAGTTCGGTAGAGAGTGTGGCGAGGTCTCCTTTGTCTGCAGCTTGTTCTGCTTCACTTGCCATAGTATAGTGAGGGGAAATACAAAATTAACAGTTATAACGCAGATTAAATGATGTTCACACTTATGAAAAAAATAAGCAAAAAATGGAGAGGATTATAAATATAAGAAGAACAATCACAATAAATGTTGATGTTGTAAGAGTGGAGGAAATGATTTATTTAGTAGTGCAAAGAAGGTTAGTTCGTCCCTGACACTATTTTCACATAAAGTACGTGTCAAATATGGTACAGTGGAATTTGATAATTAGATATACGTGCATTAAGTCTCCTGAAAAGACTTCTTGTTTTATCTGAGGAGACACAAAGTTGGAGCTGCGGGTAGAGTGGGTGCTCACAGTCTGACAAAATTCCTTTAGCAAATTTGTTGCATGAAATCAAGTGCCTATCAGTGACAATGTCAACGATATCTCCCAATGGGATACCACTCGTCCTACTGACAGTCTTCAGAGTTCTACGACGTATGACATAGTCTTTTTTAAGCAATCCAAGAAAAAATAAAAGTGAACAGTAAAGAAGAATAGGTAAGATGCACGAGTTGACAAACTGTAAGAGGAGGGGTTGAGTTATGCCTGAGTGCCTTAACTTCTTAATGTGAAAAGTTAGACATAATATTCTTTTAGAAATCGCTAAGACATGGGAAGACCAAGATAGGTCAGTAGAAAGAATTAATCCAAGATACTTAACTTCAGACTTGGTTTCTATATCAGTATCATCAATTTTGCAACGGTCATAGGAACCAACGGCTTAATTTAACTTCTTTTTACATCGGAAACTGAAATTAACAGTCTGACATTTGGAAGGATAAACTTAATGAACTCAAGGTATAACAGATAAACATAGTGAAAAAAAATAAATTAAATGAATGGAGGAGATAAAGTGGAGTGCACAAGGGGAATAAACGCTCCAGAAGTAAAGTGTGCTATAAGACAGAATACTAACATTAAGATCTTGTAATACTTTACAGTTGGCTAAGTTACAATAAATGCCACCATTCTGGCAGGGAGTGTTTCACGTAGGAAATCAAGAGTGGAATGAATACCTTCAAATGATGATAGCATAGACGATGGTGTTCACAACGACATTTAGAGGCAACCAAATAATTGACGAGAAAGTTATGATACTACTTTTGTGCAACAAGTAGCAAGAAAATAAAGTGATAAAAGTATACGGACACAATTTCAGCCACCCATATAATCAAATGGTAGTGAAATAACAGTGAACTTCCCCGTTAACTTTTGATTTGAGTTTCAGTGACAAAATAATGATGCAGTCACGTCTAATTCATTTTTCCCAGCCAAATGAGATGTGCGTTCTAGTTTCCACCTTTATGCTGCTATTGAATAGAATTCTTTGGGATAACGTGTTAGTCTGATCATGTAGTTAGTGGTTTACATGATCTTATCTTGCTTCGTTAATTTGAAGCCGTTTACTGTGTTGTTGGCACAGCTATAAAGTGCTTGCCGACCACACAGGGGGTTCGGGGTTTGATCCCCGGCTGGCGCAATCCGTTACCTCGCTAAGCCAGTAATAAGACTGGTAAAGAGGGAAGGTTGGGCATGAGGCTAGCAACTCCATCCCGTAAAAATGAACACCACCCCTACCAAAACTTCAGGCCTCTAGCTTGGAGCCCTATGTTCCACTGGAAACGTGAAGGAATAAAAAGAAATAGAATCCGTGTAGCCAAAGGATAATTTGAGACCTATTGTTGTATCGACTTAGGTGCAGATTTCTGACAAGTTGTAAACTTGTGGGAAATATCTGTCCAGTGTATCTTGATTTCAGGACATGATTTCCAACGCCTATGTATTATAATATATTATTATTTTCTTGGGTTCCGAGTGGAACATAGGGCTTCAACAGCACATCTCCATTCCAATCTGTTCCTTGCGGTCGTCTTTAGCTGGCTACACGATTGTCAATAAGCTCTTATCTTCTCCTCATACAGTCTCTTCCATATCACCCTTGGA